GATAATCCTAGGGGTTCCTTCTAACTCAAAAGTTCTTGCATCTTTAAATTGTAAACATATTCCAAGGACAGTGCTCAAAATTTTTAGGGATTAATGCCATGGGATTTGGCACTCAATAGGCATCTTTTGGATGGCTGCTGAATGTCGAATAATAATCCTGGTGCAGTTTTAATATTAAGGACACTCATTTGCCAGTCAATACTGCACATGCGTAATCTGCACCCTCGTCTTGGATAAATGTCAGAGAGCCATGGCAAATACAAACAGAGGCTTTGTAGGGATTCAACCCTGGGTTCAAATACCAGCTCTTGCACTTACCTGCTATGGGATGCAGATCAATTACCCACCCTCTGTGACTCCCAGTCAGTGCTGAGCTGTGACCAAGTATGGTTAATATTTCTGTTCCCACCTTGATGGTGTGGTCAGTTGGTCATGTGGCAAACATTCACTGAGCACGCACTGGGTGTCAGCCGCAGGGATACAGATATAAAGACAATAGACAAGAAGTTTATGGTCCCTTCCTTGCTTCCTCTCCTTTCACTGTCCCTGAAGCAGGCACCCGCTGCTCTGAGCTGTCCTGGGAGAAGCCTGTGGCCTCAGAAGGGGAGAGACGAATAGAAGTGGGGGGGGGTAGGATCGGGTGAGAGCTGCCTGAGGCACAGTTATAGGAACTGGGGTAAGAGCATCTGTGCCCAAATCCATTGTCCCCTCTCTCTCTGGGCCCCTGTAACATGGGGGTACTGTCTGTCTCCTGAGCTTGCTCTGGGCATCAAGCAGATACTGACGCGAATAAAGCTAATTTTCTTGAGCTCTCTCTAGGTGCTAGGCTCCGAATGAAGACAAATGTATGCATCACCTCGTTAACCTGACAACAACCCAGATTTATCCACAAAGAAACACGGACGGAGCAGTTGAAAGATCTTGCCCCAGATCTCGCTGCCGCAAAGGAGCAAATAGAGGGATGGAATCAACATGCTGTGACTTTCGTTCATGTACCGAAACCACTGTAGCCTCCCACCTCCCATTCTAGTGAGGGTTCAACCACTTAGGTGGCACCTTATCTGGTGCCCTACTGCGGGCATGCCTCGGAGATATTGCGGGTCCCGTTCGAGACCCCCGCAATAAAGTGAGTATCTCAATAAAGCACGTCAAATAAATGTTTTGGCTTTCCAGTGCACATTAAAATTAGGTGTGCCCTACACTGCTACACTGTAGTCCATTAAGTGTGTAATAGCATCATGTCTTTTAAAAAGCATATTTAAGGAGTGCCTGGGTGGTTCAGTCGGTCAAGCTTCCAGCTTCGGCTCAGGTCATGATCTTGCAGTCTTCGAGTTTGAGCCCTGTGTTGGGCTCTGTGCTGACAGCTGGGAGCCTGGAGCCTGCTTCTGATTCTGTTTCCCTCTCTCTCTGCCCCTCCCCTGCTCTCACTCTGTTTCTCTCTCTCTCAAAAATAAACATTAAAAAGGCAAAATTAAGCATGTACCTTAATTATACCTTTATTGCTCTAAAATCTGAGCTTTCAGCGAGTCATCATCTTTTTATTGGTGGAGGGTCTGGCCTCAATGGAGGTGGCTGCTGACTGACTAGGGCTGTGGTTGCTGAAGGCTGGGGAGGCTGGGGTGGCTGGGGTGGCTGGGGCAGTTTCTTAGCATAAGGCCACACATCGTGTCCCATGTCAGCTGACTCTCCCTTTTGTACATGATTTCTCTGCAGCAGGCGACTGTTGATAACGTTTTACCCACAGTAGAAACTCTTTCAAAATCAGAGACTGTCCTTTCAAACCCCACCACTGCTTTCTCAACTATGTGTGTAGGACATTGTCAATGCTTTCTTGTCGTGTCAACAGTCTTCACAGCATCCTCACTAGGAGAAGATTCCGTCTCCAGATACCGCTCTCTTTGCTCATCCATGAGAAGCAACTCCTCCTGTTTACATTGACCACGAGTTTCTAGCAATTCAGTCCCATCTTCAGGCTCCACTTCCAATCCCCGCCCACCCGCTGTCTCCATCCCATCGGCAGCTACGTCCCCCACTCAAGTCTTGAGCCCTCAACGTCCTCCTTGAGGGATGGAATCCACTTCTTCCACACTCCTGTTAATGCCGCTATCTTGACCTCTCCTGTGAGTCAAGAATGTTCTTACTGTTCTTTAGAATGGTGAATGCTTTTCAGAAGGTTTCCAGTTTGCCCAGATCCATCAGAGGACTTCCTGTCTATGGGAGCTCTCTAGACTTTCTGATGTATTTCTTCAATAATAAGACCTGAAAATAGACATTTCTCCTTGTTCCACAGGCTGCAGAATGGGTGCTGTGTTAGCAGCCCGAAGACAACATTAATCCCGTCGTACCTCTCCACATCAGCCAAGCTCCTGGTGACCAGGTGTGATACCGATGAATAGGAATATTGGGAAAGGAATCTTCTAGTTCTGAGCAGTAGGTCTCAACAGCTGGCTTGAAATATTCAGGAAACCATGCTGTAAGCAGATGTACTGTCCTCTGGGCTTCATTGTTCCATTTACACAGCACAGGCAGAGTAGATGTAGCATAATGCTTAAGGGCCCTCGGATTCTGGTAAATGAGCCCTGGCTTGTACTCAAAGACACCGGCTGCACTAGCCTCTAACACGTGAGTCAGCCTCTCCCTTGGAGCTTTGAGGTCAGGCATTGTCTTCTCCTCTCTAGCCATGAATGCCCTTCAAGTGTGGGTGCTTCCATCTGCACCGAACATCTGCTGCTTGGTGTAGTCACCTTCTCCTTCATGAATGATCAGAGCTAGGTCTTCTGGATAACTTGCTGTGGCTTCTACATGGGCACCTGCTGCTTCACGCCCTGCTTTTTTGTGTTACAGAGACACTTCTTTCCTTAAACCTCATGAACCAACCTCTGCTACCTTCACACGTTGCTTCTGCAGCTTCTGCACCTCTCTTGGCCTTCATGGAATGGAAGAGAGTTCAGGCCTTGCTCTGGATTAGGCTTTGGCTTAAGGGAGTCTTGTGTCAGGGTTGAGCTTCAGCCAGACCACTGAAATTCTCTCCAGATCAGCAGTAAGGCTGTTTCTTTCCTTATCATTCATGCATTCACTAGAGTAGCACTTGTCGTTTCCTTCTAGAACTTTTCCTTCATGTTCACCAGTTGGCTAAGAGTTGGGCACAAGAGGCCCAGCTTTCAGCCATTCTGAGCTTTTGAGGTGCCTTCCTTGCTAAGCTGAATCATTTCTAGCTCTTGATTTAAAGGGGGAGATGTGTGATTTTTCCTTTCACGTGCACACTTGGAGGCCACTGGAGGGTTATTCATTGGCCTCGTTTTAATATTGTTGTGTCTCAGGAAATAAGGAGGCCCAAGGAGGGGGAGGGGGGTTGGGAATGGCAGACCAGTAGAGGCATCAAAACACACACAACGCTTATATGAGTGTGTTCCGTGGCGCTCCAGGATAATGACAATGGTAACATCAGAGATCCTGGATCACCGATCACCATAACAAATAAAGTAATAAGGGGAAAGTTTGAAATGTGGCAAGAATTCCCAAAATGTGACGCAGAGAGACAGAGCAAATGTGGTTGGAAAAACAGCACCTGTAGACTTGCTTGACAGAGCTCCCGTTTGTAGGTAACACCATATCTGACAGTGTGGTAGAGTGAATGCAATAAAACGCAGAATGCCTGTATGAGTATAATTACACCACTCAGATATTATAAGGAGCATTCACATGCTGCTATGGCTGCCTTGTTCTGCTTTGCTGCCTTACACACTGGCCAATGTGGAAAAACAGGGCGTTTACTTATCAAGAGAGAAAAAGTCTTCATCCTTTGGGGTTCACAGAGGAGGTGGCCCTTTCTGCATATGGGCCTTTGTTTTTAATTAAGAGCAGTAATCAGATAATTTTGCTTTAATTAACTCCCCTGATGCATCCTTGCACTCTTGGAGCCTCTCTTTGATATTTTCCGCGTCAAGTTTTTCAGCCTAAGATGATCTGCAGGCGTGCGTCAGACATTTGCCATTTGCTGAATATGCCTGAAAGGTTAGTGTGAACTTCCATCCCCTTATTTTTGTAGAAGCAGCCCCCTCCTTCAGAGCAAACACATTTCAAGTCAGGAAGGGATTGTCTGCATTGGCTCCTCGAGTCACTGACTTTTCTTTCAATCTTATCACATTGGTTCTTCTGTTATCTCAAAAGCAGCATGCCTTTCATCTTAATTACATATCTGCTTAATCCGTAATTTCTGATGTATGGCCATTAGCTCCTAATTACAAGAGGGCCGTCCTTGAAACAAATGAGCTGAGAGAAACGAGGCTGAAAAACAAGGGCTATGATGGATTTAAGCCCTAAACTAAGGGTGCATCCCGAGGCCCGTTTGTTGAAGGAACCTATTGTTGGCAATCCTACAGATCTGCGAGAGTTTCATCTCAGGCCGCAACTGAATCCATCACCCTCTGTAGTGGGGAAAATATAAAACCTTGACATTCAGAACAAAGCTAAAGTCTCTGAGGGAGAAATTATCCAGCCTTACTGTCAAAGATACTGATTCGCCATTAAAATAACAACAACAACAACAAACTCAAATACAGAAACACTTAAGTGAATATGTTTACGAAAGAAAAATTTAAATCCAGAACCATCCATAAGTGGAAAACAAGTAGGGCTTGCTTTAGATAGAAGGAGACTATAATAAATCCACAGTTATTTAAAAAATGTTCACCACACGCTTTTTAAAAAATCATCTTGAAAACCATGCTGTAGGAAGGGCTGCATTAGATCCTCATCATTTTAACTGTTTAGAGAAGTAAACACAATTATACTTCCTGTTGCACAGATGAGGACATGAAGGCTCAGGGAAGATAATCGAACTGCCTAAAGTCATTCAGCTAAGAAGTGGCAGGGTCATAGCTCAAACTGTCCAAGACTATGCCTACGCTGGAGAAAGTGGAAGACATGAGCAACAATCTTTCAAGGATGAGATTTTTCAAGTTATTGGACATCCAGAGGTAGCAGGGAGATACTCTTACCTGGGGCTGAGGGAGTGGCTGCTGACTGACTGTCGCGAGGGGGTCCTCATGGTATCTGTGGCCAGGGACAGAGTACAACTCAGCCAGGACTGCAGACTCCCTTCTGGCTGGGAGCTGAGGACGGAGACGTTATCTCTAGAACCAGAAGACAGGATGCTGTCAACACAATGACAACCACAGTAACAGCAATAACTAGATATTAGACCCTAAGCATAAGCCAAGCATGTGTACTGTACATCCATAACGTCAATCAGTGCTCACAACACCATCTCTGAGAGATGAGAACCAGTGCTGTTCCCATTATATAGATGAGAGTAAGTGGGATTTGGGGAGGCCCACTTGGGTCTGGCCAAGGTCACCCACCTAGTTAGTGATAAAGTTGTAATGCAAACTCTGGTTTCTCTGGTTCCAGTGCCCATGCTACTAACTGATGCTCTTCCTTGGGGAGATAAACACTCTAATATAGATATTGAGGCAACTCTGATTTTAGAGGAAAATTTGGCATTGAATTTTATACCAAATGATAAGTCCATGGAATATGTCAAGTGTGAAAGTCTTAACTTTTTGCCTGCCTTAACCAGAATGTCTTTGTAGACAGAGCCTTTGCTTTTATGTCCCCTAATTCTGAAAGCAGCACAGGGTGAAGCTATGTGGGCCTGTCACTGATGTGGGTACTCAATGATTATTTTGTTTTCTAGTTGATATATTCACTCAACTATATCTATCAATATTTATATCTAAAACTATATATCTATTTTGATATCTGCATCTATATATGCTTATATTGGTATCTGTCTATAAATTCATTTGTTTGTTGATAGCATATTCTATGCCAGGCACCATGGGAAGGTGCTATAAACATGAACCCAACATTGAACTTGTCCTTAAGACTCCACCTTACCACAGTAGACATCTATAGAAATAACCACAAAATAAAGGAGAAAGTTATTAATGCCACAAAAAGAGATAGAAAGTAGAAGAATTAGGAGGGAGCCTTGATTTGCTTTTGGAGGTGTAACGGAATGCATCATGTAGTGATAGTTGAGCCACAACTTGTTTCAAGGTCAGGGGTTGGCCATGCAGGGCCTGGTGAAAGGAATTTGAGCAGGAAGGAACAGCATACACATAGGTATGGAGGTTGGAAATGGGCAGGGCATGGATGATATGCAAAATAGGAGTCCTAGCTAGAGTGGGAAGTAAGGGTCAGGTATGTGTGGGCTCAAATGTCAGTCTAAAAAGTCTATTCTGAGGCAATAGGAAGCCATTGAAAGTATCTGATGGGGCAGTGGTATGATAAGTCATGGGCTTCTCTGTCTAAAAGGAGTTGCACAGTTCAATAATATGTCCCCAGTGCTATATGTTAAGACCATGGAGTCAGAGCTATCATGGCATTGCTAGTAATTCTCCAAGTGGGTATGCATGTTTCCTCTGCAGACTGGACACAGAGAGCCAAGGGCTCTTGGCTTCGTCCTTGGTTTCAATGTCAACTGCTCAATTCTACTCAGGGTCAACTTACATCTCTTTTCGGCCACTGCTGGTGCAGTCCACTGCTGTCTGGACACTAGGAAGAGACACAGAAAAGAGTCTGTCATCCTTGTGCTTCCAGGGGAATAACATGGTCTTTGATGTTAGACAAACTTCCAACCTTTGCCCCTGTGTGATCTCAGGCAAGTCACTTGCCTTCTCTGACACCGCCCCCCCCCCCCCCCGCCCCGTGCTCCTTTGTAAAATATGGTGACGAATGGGGTGGAGTTGTGGAGCAGACTAAGCAAGATAACCCTTATAAACATCTTGGCATGGTTCCTGACAAATAAATAGTGTTGATTAAAAGGCGGCAGCCATTATCACTGCTCTTGTTTTAGTACAACCGCGCCGCTATTATTAACAGCGTCATTATTGTCAATAAGCCACGCATTTGCTTTATGTTCTTTGTGAGTGCTAGTGAATAAGACAAGAGGGCAGGTGGCCAGCTTTCCAGAGCATTCTGGGAAACTCCGAGACTAATTACAGTGGTAGCTATTCTTTAGGGAGCATCCCTTCATTCAACAAATATGCTCTACATGTGATCTCCTCTAACCATCCCGCCTCTATCCACTTAGTGAATGAGGAGAATGACACCCTCATTTAAGGTCACATAGCTTTGAATTCCAGGTCTGTAGGAGCTATTAACCTCATGCTCTTAACCAGAATGCAGTTGCCCAGTGTGTGGGTGTAGATATCCAAGCCACACCCTCAGACACCTATGACCTCATTTGAGTCCTGGCTTCACAAGCCAGGGCTGCCCGCTTTGTTCTTTGCATGGAATCTGGAGAATTCCTTCCTTAGAAAACCTGGTTGCTTCTCCAAGGGAGGTACCTGTGGCTCCTTGGTCCCTTCCCTCAAGGATCTGTCAGTGTTGGGGCTCCTATTCATATTTATCTGTCCCCACAAGGCTGCAAAGAGCCCCTCATGACCCAAGAATATGTTTTATTCATCCCTTTAGCCCCAGGGCTCAGGCCAGACCAAAAGTTCTTTCAGACAATGCTTTGTGAATCCAATGAGCTTCAGCCATGGGCTAAATCCAACCTATGAATGTTTTTTATAAATAAAGTTTTATTAAAACACAGCCACACGAACTCATTTCCATTTTGCACCACTGCTTTTGCTCATTATAGCAGAGTAGTTGCAAGAAAGATCATGTGGCCCCCACAGCCTAACATATTTACTTTCTAGCCTTTTATATTTTATTATTTCTTAAAAATTTTTATTCATTTTTGCAAGAGAAAGACAGAGCATGAACGGGGAAGGGGCAAGAGAGAGAGGGAGACACAGAACCCCAAGAAGGCTCCAGGCCGCTTGGTCTCTGTGTCTCTCTCAAAATAAATAAAAATAAATTAAAAAAAGAAAAGAATTCTTCCTACTGCCTATCTCCTTGTGTTGGTGTCAGCCCTCAAGCAAAAGCCAGAGCCACGGCTTCCAGAAGCCCTCTCTACCTGTTTCCAGGTATTACTAGCCCTTGGGGCTGTGCCATTCTTGGTGGGTCTCTACACTAGGCCCATATCTTTGTAAATAGTCCCTTTATTAAATCCATTGGGGTGAGCCTCTGGCTCCTGCCAGACTCTGACTATTACAGTAGCTAATCTCAGTGCTGGCTTCTGCCTTAACAGAAAGAACTGGGTTTTCCAAGCCAATATTCTCTATGCGAAATCAGCAGGCAGCAGCCACGACCCACCATTGCTATATCAATGACTGTTATACCCTTTATACCCATGCAGGGAAAAAATGGTGAAGAATCTTAAGAAGCCATCTCGTAAGAGCATAAGATTTCAGTGATCTTTATTTGTGCCTTCTAATCCTGTGACTTTGGAAAAGAACCAGTCATGAGAAATAAAGATAGAGGTATGAAGCCCTATGGAAAATAATCCTACGTTTCTATAGAGATTTTAATCTGTGCACTGGTTGCTTTTGCCTGTGAACTCATGTCACTGAATTTTCATGGAACTTCTGAGGTTAAGGTCAAGGTCTGCCAGTCATTCTGCCTGTCGACTTCCTGATGAATTACCATCCAGGCCAAGCGTGATGTCCAGGCTGGACTCCATGGTACCCACCATTTTAGAAGCTCTCAACCTGAGTATGTCTAAAATAAAGAGGCTGGGTGGAGAAGGGCTTCTGGAAGCTGCATCACACGTTACGGTCTGAGAAATTGCAGAAGGCTCTTAACAGCCTCATTCTGAGGTGGTCTTCAGCTTGGGTAGGGGGATGGGAAACGCTTTCAGGCAGAAGCAGGTATTTTGTTCTGTGTGAACTGGAGACTCATTGAATCAGATGGGTAGAAATCACCACCAGGTTGACTCTTTAGAAGCCATGGATTACTGGCTCTGACAGACACTGGAATTGTACACCACACTCTACAGAGCCTTTGCATTCTTGGAGACCTCACAGGGGCTCCTAAGGGAAAGACACCAAGTAGGGGGGCTTGACCCCAAGCTTTCATTTCTTTCTGCACTCCATCCTAAGCTAGACTTTTCTATAGGAGTTTGTGTTGGCATAAAAAAAAAAAAAAAGTACGGTTCTACTTAAGAGAGAGTTTGAAACTCACTGACACTTTTATCCTATGAAGAAAGAGTGTGCTGCAAGTTCCATTTTGGCCTATTTTTTTTTTTTTACTGTACCTCTTGTCTTTTTTTTTTATGTTTATTTATTTATTTGACAGAGAGAGAAAATCCCAAGCAGGCTCCCCACCGTCAGTGCAGAGTCCAATGCAAGGCTCAAACCCACAAACTCTGAGATCATGACCTGAGCCAAAATCAAGAGTCAGACGCTCAACAGACTGAGCCCCCCAGGCGCCCCAGTGTACCTCCTATCTTAACGTCAAATGATGGTAGTGATGGTAATGAAGGCGATAGTGATGGTGATGATGATGATGATGATGATGATGATGATTTTGATGTGTTGATTGGGCAAACAGAGGCCCAGGAAGGGCAGAAGACCTGGTCCGAGTCTACTTGGCAGTGCAGCCAGGACAGAGCCTTGTCTCCTGACCAGTCAGTGGTTCTCTCTCTCATGTTGGCACACGTGGCTTTTAAAGAACTATGCCAGGCATTTGCGGACAGGGGCTTGCTGCTAAGCAAGATAATTAATGAGATGTCTTCTGTTGTAGTCCTTTAGCGTGAGTCTTTGTCAGACAACTCCAGTCTAAACGTACACACAACCTGGGAAGTAACGCCTGAATGCATCGGCCCTGGGTCACAGTGACACAGCCACACACTCACCACAATGACAGGCCAGTTGCTAGGTGGAGAACAAGGGCTGTGACGAGAAAAAGGGGGAAGATGGGGTATGTTGGGCATGACAGCAGAGTTTGCTCAAGGGGAGTGGGGGGGGCAGCCCGAAAATCATGGCGGCCCCTTTGCTTGCTGTGTGAGCCCAAGCCAGATCCTCAACTTCTTGAACTCTCCAGTGTCCTCGTCCATAAACTGGGCACCCGCCTCAACAGTTGTAAGACAAGTAGGTGGTGTGGCCTGGCACAAAGTGGGTCCTTAGCAAAGAGTGCCGACCAACCCAATTGCCATCATTTCTTCTAAGGCGGGAAGAGGTAAAATAGGTTGGAGTCCTGACTCCCCGTGAACCCCACTAGTTCCTGGATCCAGGCCTTCCAGGCTAGAAGGACTCTGGGAAGGCCAGATGGCCTCTCTGGCATCATTTAAACATGCGCTACCCTGCACTAGGGCGCCATGTTGTAATTGGAATGGGGCACCAACCTTCTCAGAGCAAAGGAGAGATGCTTTGAGTCTGCATATTGTTAACAGTCTGGCCGGAGCCCGAGGCCCACTAATAAATAAAGTAACTCAAAATTATGCCTGTGGTGGCAGCTGCCATCTTTGGTTTGACCCACATCTTCCTATTCTTACTACAGCCTAATTTGACCCAGGCTGAGGAACACGCAACCCACACACGACACAGCAACAGGAGGCACCTTTCTAGAGCCTTGGTCTCTGAATTGATACACTCCCAGCTGACCTAGGAACCAGAGGTCATCCATCGGCTTCTCCACACTCCCCCCGCCCCACCCCCAAGCCCCCAGAAAGGTGACGGGCAGAGCAGCCCCAGACTCTGGGGCAGGAACAGATGGGGCCGTCAGCTGACGCATCTCTCCCTTCAGGAGTAACGAAGGTGCTCCACGCCCCCTGGGGAACAGCCCGAAGCACTTCCCCCATTCATCAGAGAAGGCTGACGCCTCGTTTGAAGTCACAGCGCAGAGTGCGCGTGCAGGAAGGCATGGGTTTCAATGCCGCCGCACAGGCTACCTGGCTTTGTGGGCACGTAACCACGTTTCCAGCCTGGAAGGCCCGTTACGCTTGGATTGAATTCCCAACATGGGGAAATGTGACTTTTTAAAATTTGAACAAGTCTCTTAAAGAACCTTACCTCCAGCGCGCGTGCACACACGTTCTTTCTCTCTCCCCGCCGGGTGGGTGTGAGTCCTAATTGAGCGCTCAGTTTGGAGAGGTCCCTCGGGCTCCCATCCAAATCTCATACCCCAGGAGATGAGACAATTAAGAAGCAAGTACAGTGCGGAGCCGTCAGGACGGGGGAAGAGGAGGAGACGCTGGCACCCCGGGGAGGAGCTGGGGCCCTGAAGCCTGGCAGGGCATGACTTTAATTGCTGATAATCATGTTAATTGCAGCGTGGCCAGGGGACAAGGTTTGTGCCATATCAGTTCTCCAAAATGTGTTGAGACTTCTTTGTGGGCAATTCCCCCCACCCCAGGGCCCCCCCATTCTCATGGCACTGGTTAAGTCTCTGTTCTGTGGCTGGGTCCAATCCAAGTCACAGGACAGAGAGTCAGGACCAAGTCCTGTGAGACAGAAGGTCATGAAAACGCAGACAGGAAGCCGGGGTTCAGATGGGATTCCCCAGGGACCCAGGGTCTGGAGCTCAGGAAAGTAGGATCAGAACAGAGGGTGAGGATGAGGCTTTTCACCCGGAACGGAAAGAGATAAGCGTGCCTCCTATCAAGATGAGGGTGAGGGCAGGGTCCCTTTAAGATTGGAGTGATGTCTGTGACCCTCTGTGACCTTCCCACCAGGATCTCACTCCCCAGTCAAGGGAATGTACACCTTCCTTCCTGTCACACCTCTGCTGAGCCTATACCCACACCTGCAAGCGCAACCCTGTGCCTCTTTCCAGTTTTGTTATTTTTATAACTTTCATTGATTTTGCTGATAAATTTCATGTATTAGAAAAGCAATCTTAACACCCAAAAACCAACTAATCCAATTAAAAGGGGGCAGAAGACAGTAACAGACATTTCTCTAGAGAAGACCTACAGATGGCCAACAGATACATGAAAAGGTACTTAACATCACCAATCATCAGAGAAATGCAAATCAAAACCACAAGGAGGGGGGCGCCTGGGTGGCTCAGTTGGGTAAGTGACCGACTGCAGCTCAGGTCATGATCTCACGGTTTGGGAGTTCGAGCCCTGCGTTGGGCTCTGTGCTGACAGCTTGGAGCCTGGAGCCTGTTTCGGATTCTGTGTCTTCCTCGCTGCCCATCACCTGCTCTCTCTCTCTCTCTCTCTCTCTCAAAAATAAATAAACACTAAAAAAAAAAAAATCAGAATGAGGCAGCACCTCACCCCTGTCAGAATGGCTCAAATCACAAACACAAACGAGTCGGCGAGGATGTGGAGAAAAGGGAACCCTCTTGCACTGTTGGGAATGCCAACTGGTGCGGCCACTGTGGGAAACAGTATGGAGGTTCCTCAAAAACTTAAGAATAAGAACTACCCTATGATCCAGGAATCGCACTACTGGGTATTTACCCAAAGAATGCAAAAACATTTATTTGAAAGGATAATGCACCCCTGTGTTTATAGCAGCACCATTGACAATAGCCAAATTGTAACAGCAGCCCAAGTGTCCAGCAATGGATAAACGGATAAAGAAGAAGTGGTGTATGTATACACTGGACTAGTACTCAGCCATAAAAAATAATGAAATCTTGCCCTTGGCAATGACAGGGATGGAGCTAGAGAGTATGATGCAAAGTGAAATAAGTCAGAGAAAGACAAATGCCACATGATTTCATTCATATGTGGGATGGAAAAAACAAAACAAATGAGCAAAGGAAAAAAAAGAGACAGACACGCACACAAATCAAGAAATAGATTCTTAACTACAGGAAACAAACTGGCGAGTGCCAGAGGGGAGGGGTATGTGTGGGGGGATGGGAAAATAGGTGATGGGGACTAAGCACACTTGTCATGACAAACACTGAGTGATGTACAGAATGGTTGGATCATTATATGGTACACTTGAAACTAATAGAACACTGTGTGCTAACTATACTGGAAGTAAAATAGAAACTTGCAAAAAGAAAAGAAAAGCAATCTCTTGCTTCGCAAGTAAAAATGGTTCAAAAGTTTTGCTCCTCGGCGAAAGAAAAAAAGTACTAGTATATACCAGCATTAATTCAAATTATAATTAATGCAAAAGCACTAATGTTTCTTTTAATGGAAGAACCAGCTCAAGCGTCAGGTGGGTTATATCGACAATCGGGTTTATAATCACAGATGTGACTGTGTCAGGACACTAAGAAAACTGCAGGGGAGGGCAGTGCATGGGACAGGTTGACATTACACGTCTCTGAGCAGCGTATGACCAGCCCAGAACCGCATCAAAGAAAGGATGCGTTCACCTTCTAAAAACAGGTACACAGGGGCACCTAGGAGGCTGGTCGGTTGAGTGTCCGACTTCGGCTCAGGTCATGATCTCACAGTTTGTGGCCTCGAGCCCCGCAACAGGCTCTGTGCTGACAGCTCGGAGCCTGGAGCCTGCTTCAGATTCTGTGCCTCCCTCTCTTCAAAAGTTTTAGAAAATGTAAATAAGCTTGAATCAAACAAAATTTTAGGTCACCAGTAATGCCTTTCATCAGAATGTTGGCGTGTTTCCTTCTGGGCTTTTCTTCCCCTTAACTAGGCATGGTCCGCTCTACCGGCTCCTCCCACTGGCTAAACCGCAGCTGATTCGCACGCTATTTCCCTCACCGCCCAGCTCACGTCTACACTTCCTGCAGGTCAGCAGCTGTCCCTGTTTCACCTGTTAGGAGGGGCGACAGGCAAAGGTCTAGGGTAGCAAACGCAGCAGCCCTGGGTTCTAACTCGCTCCGTGGTGCTAATTTGCTGTGTGACCTGGAACTGCTCCGGGGTCCTCGCGCAAGTGGAGAGGGCTGCTCTCTACGGCCTGATAGTTGGTCATCTGGCTGCCACGCACACCATCGCCCACAGAGACAAAGTCCACGAGGGACACCAGTGGCCGATGCAGCCCACCCCACGCAGGTGTGTGTAAGGAGGGCACGCACCTGAAGGTTAGGTCAAGGCGCCCTGTTTCTTCCCAAAGCAATCGCAAAGGAAACGATTTTTGCCAGCCAGGCTTTGTGGCAGAGGCTGGACAGGGACAGGCAGTTGTGGGTTCCAGAAGTAACGCGGCAAGGTTCCAAAGGCAGCTTTGGGGGACAGGACACTATGGGCCCCCTGCAAGGGCTGGACAGCCTGGGCCCCTGTGGCCACCTGGGACACCCCAAATTCCCTCCAGCTGAACTGCCCACCCCTGGCCTATGGCAGCTGGAGACTTGAGTGGAGGTGGTAGGAAGCAACCTGTCTTCTGAGAAAGAAGCCCTGACATTGAACTTGAGACGCCTGGCCTATCACCTGCTGGCTCATCTTGCCTCCTTGAATCAGTCATTGCTTCTGTGAAGTGATGTCCATTTCCGCGCACGAACACGGCGCGTACACAGAGCGCATGAACAGCTCTAAGTGATGTCCATCTGACTCTGACAGTCCTACGCGGTAGGCAGTGGGCTGTGCCCACGGAACGTCCACCTGCCCGTCAAGAGTGCTCAGCAACTGGCCATTTCATGTGGTTGGTTTGAAGTGTTATGTCCACTTTACACGTGAAGGAAGTGGGCCCAGATCGGACGTGTAACTGGCCACGATTATGAACTGGAGCCCACTTTGCAGGCACTCCCCAGGGTTTTCCATGAAGGCTCAGAGAGCTGGATCCAGCAGTTTCCGTGGCAAACAGGAGATGCTAACTCCGGAGGGGAAGCAAGCGTCCTGTCCCTCCTCACACGAGCCAGCCAGTTATCCCTCCCACCACGAAACGCATCCGGGTCTCCCCGCATCTGCGGCTCCCCGGAGGACCTGTGACCAAAGGCTGCAGAATACCCCAGGGCACAGTACAGCAGGTGCACCCGCCGCCCGCCCCCGGGGGTTACCTCTCTGTGTCGCTGTCGCTGGATGCCACCTCCTCCAAAGCTGCCTGCAGGTCGGCAATCCGCCGGATGGACGTCTCCAGGTCTGTCTGGAGCGTCTGTCTCACCGCTGCCAGCTCCTCCACATACTTCTCCTGAAGGCAGAGACCACAAGCACACGTTGGCCTTGTGCAAGACACACACTGGGCTGAGCTGAGTGCTCACTGAGCACCTAGTACATGGTGGGCGCCCCCTGAGGTGTTCACTCTGCACAGACAGGCTTATGAACCCTCAGATAGATGCTCTGAACTTTATAGAGAACAGGATGTTTTGGGGGGCTACCGGGGCACGGCCCACGGCAGAGCTCACCCATCCACGCTGGAGTTCTGAGCCCAGGGTGTCCGACCCCAGAGCCACGCTTGGAACCTGCACCCCCGACTTTGCACCAGGCAGTGCACCTCGAATGGACGTGTGAATGCATGGACCAATGTATGTTTCGCGGAACGGTCACTGCAGCTGGTTCTGGAAGCCGAGTCTGCCTCGGGGGTGGAACTGGAGTGGGAGATCGGTGTCGGCTGGGGAGCAGACAAAAATGGTTCGTGGGGCACCTGGGTGCCGCAGGCAGGTATGCATCCCACTCTTGATCTCGACTCAGGTCCTGATCTCACGGTTTGTGAGGTCCAGCCCCATGTCAGGCTCTGTGCTGGCAGTGCGGAGCCTGCTTGGGATTCTCTCTCGCTCTCTGCCCCTGCCCCACTCAAGTGTGCACACTCTCTCTCTCTTTCTCAAAATAAATAAACTTTAAAAAAAAAAAAGAATGGTTCCCTTTCAACTCGGCCATGCCAACTCTCCCACCTTTGCATCCTCAGAGGCTGCAAGATGGACAGACAGACAATCCAGCGGGGCTCCTCCCAGAGCACGCTGACACCACTTTCATTTACTAAGGTCTTTCTGTGCCTGGCACTGGGTTGAGCATCTTGCCCTCATGAACTCCCTTCCTGCTCACCAGCCCGGCAGGTGGCTCACCATTGTTGCTCCCATTTCACAGACGAGAAACTGAGGCCCAGGGAATCAAAGGCTTGACGGCAGTGCTGGAACTCCAGCTCGGTGCATGTGACTCTCCTCCGAGGGCTTATCTCTCTCACCTCTGACACTACCCTAATCGGATCTGTCCAGACTCAGGAAAACCTCTGCCTTCCATTTGCAACAGATTTCACCCACCCCCTACCTTTATAGCAAAGATTATCAACTGAGGGTGATTTTGCACCCCCCCCACCCAGGGACACTGAACGATGCCTAGAGACATTTTTGGTTGTCACAACTTGGCAGGGCGTAGGGGGTGCTACTGGGATCTTGCAGGTGGAGACCAGGGATAGCGCCCAGCATCCTATAATGCACAGGACGGCCCCCTCCTCAGAGCATTACCTCGCTCAAATGTCCACAGTGCCCAGTCTGAGAAACCTCGGGTTAAGCCCAGAAGCCCACCCTCCAGGACGTAATCCCAGGGGGAATCAATCAAAAGGCAGAGTAAGGTCTGTGTAGGATGCTTCAAGCAGAGGTGTTAAGGAAGGAGGAGGCTGAAAGCAGCCACATGGCCCAACAACAGGGAACGGTTAGGGGAATCATGGTGTGCCACCTTGATACTCCTGGGCAGACATTCACATTAGGAATAAGGGCCGTGGCGGCGTGGAATGCTTCTGCGGGATGATGGTAAGCAAACGGCACAGGACAGAGGAATGGTGTGTCCCTGTCTGTCTGCAAATAACACGCATGCAATTGGAAAAACACTTAGGAAGTTGGTAACATTTACAGATGAGGATGAAGGGAGGGGGGTGTTATAGACAAAATTTTTCTTTTAAGCTGTTCTAAAGGATTATTTGTCAACTTTTAAAAAATATTTTAAATTAATGTTTATTTTAGAGAGAGAAAGAGAGACGGACACAGAGTGTAAGCAGGGGAGGGGCAGAGAGAGAAGGGAAGACAGAGACTCCAAAGCAGGCTCCAGGCTCCACAGAGCCCAATTCAGGACTCGAACTCATGGACTGTGAGATCATGACCTGAGCCGAAACCAGACACTTAACTGACTGAGCCACCCAGGTGTCCCTTGTCGACTGTTGTTTTAAGGAACACATCTACACCAACAGCTGAGGGTGGGAAAGATTTAGGGTCAGGGGCGCCTGGGTGGCTTAGTCGGTTAAGCGTCTGACTTTCGCTTAGGTCATGATCTTGCGATTCGTGGGTTCGAGCCCCACGTCGGGCTCTGTGCTGACTGCCAGCTCAGAGCCTGGAGCCTGTTTCAGTCTGTGACTCCCTCTCTCTCTGACCCTCCCCTGCTCACGCTGTCTCTCTCCTAGAAATAAATAAAACATTAAAAAAAAAAAAGATTTAGGGTCAGACCTAAGCACAGTCCCCAGATGTCCATTTAACTTACCGCTGTGCAACCTCAAACAGCTTACAGCCCCTCTCTGAGCCAGGGATTGTTTTCTTAGTGTTGTGGATGAAGAAATGGAGGCCAGTGAAGGCACTCAGGGCAATACGATGCAGAGCCTGGATGTAAAGACTGCTCTTGCCTGCGCTCCCAGACCAATGATCTTTCTGGGGCTACATGTGCCCCCCCCTCCAGTGGAAGTCAGGGAGGGCCAGGGCTGCTCCCCAATCACAGGGACTGCACAGCTCTCCTTTGCAGAGCGGCTCAGCCATTTGTGTTTATTGTGAGTCTGTGCCTTTCATCTGACTTGAGTTTTTTCCAGTTTTAACGAGAGAGAGAGAAAGAGAGAGGAGGCAAAAACCGAGAAGCCCAAGGGCTGAGCAGAGCTGAGCAGAGAAGCGGCATGGAGAATGGCAGCAGGGGGTGACAGGCAGCTGGCAGTGCACTGTAGTTGATGGAGGCTGCCGGCTGTGAGGTCCCCATCTTGGTGCTGACAAAGTGAGAGACAGTCCGAGGCAGGGGCCCCCAGGCAGGAGGCCAGCAGGCTGTCAGAGGACATAACACACAGTGGGGGCCGGCTGAGGAGGTCCTTGCCTCTGGACGCCCACGTGGCAGCTCCTAACGACACCCAGAGAAATGGCTGGCTGCGAAGTCCCTGTGGCTTGCGGGAGTGCTCGTCCGAGCTCAGCCCCTTCCTAGGGCGACAGAATCGACCACCTTCTCCCAGGAGACGGCGCATCTGCATCTTCGTAAGACACGGAGGTGCTACCCTGAGTCCGCGACTGGGCCGTCTTAGGCAGGTGGCGAATGTTTTTTGGGAGATGAGGGAAGCGAGGCCCGAGCAGTGGGATGGCTTGTGGGAGGCCATGGAGCCGGGAGAGGACAGAGCTGAGATGGGCGGCCAGGTCTCAGGTTTTGCTGGTAACAGCTCTTTACAGCTCGTGGGCTCCAGGGATGAGAAGAGAGCATGGAGGTGCCCTCCCAGCTGTGCCCGGGTGAGCGATGCCCATGTGATGTCACACAGAGGGAGCAACAGCGGTTAGTCTCAGCCCTCATGAAGCCCCCTGGTGAGCAGAAGACAGGGCCACCAGGGACGGGCACGGTGTCTCAGGGGTGCTAAGCAGGCAGTCAGAGGCGAGGAGGAGCTGAGACAAATCGAATCTGGAATATCATGAAAGACAAAGTAGCCTCTGGACCCACAGCACGGGGGTTCGAATCCCAGCTCTGCCACTCGCTGGCTGTGTGATCTGTAGCAAGTTACTCAACCTCTCTGGTCTCCAGAGAGGAAAGGCTTGGCCAGTGCTGGCACTGCTATCATTTAATTCTTAGAGGAGAATGAGGAGTGACTGGAGCAGGGGTCGCATTGCCGAGGTTTGTCAAGGTCAAAGGCAGATAAGAGCTCTGGGCCCAAGGGATTTTCAGTGCCCTGCAGAGGATGGATGTGGATGAAAACCGCAGGCAGCGTAGGGGATGATTTAACTAGATAAAGCGAGGAGAGCTGTGAGCAAGTAAAGCATCCATGGGGGCAGCCGGGTGGCTCAGTCCACTAAGTGTCTGACTTTCTGCTCAGGTCATGAGTTTACAGTTTCATGGGTTCGAGCCCCGTGTCAGGGTCTGCACTAGCAGCGTGGAGCCTCCTTGGAATTCTCTCTCCCTCCCTCTCTGCCCTTCCTCTGCTTGCGCTGTCTTTGTCTCTCTCAGATAAAACATCGACAAAAAAGAAACCCACCCACAGATAAGGGTATATATGGACCAAGGACGGAGCCCAGGGACTCACATCAGGCCAGTGGGCACACCTCACAGAGAAGTCTGGAGTGTGTGCAATCAGTAATCAGCAAATCTTTCCTGCTTCCACTTGGAAGCCTAGTAGTGTCTGCCGACCACAGAGAGCAAGCCGTTAGGGGACTGGGTGCGGTGCCCGAACAGTGTTCCCAGGGCGGACAAAACAACACCCCTGCCCGAGATGAGTCGGGAGACAAGAAGAGGGAGACACAGGAAGGAGGCACAAGGGATGCGCCCCCTCTCACGTCTGGGAGTCTGGGGCCTTCTTCCGCCCTCCATGACATCTGATTAACAGGGCTTGGGACGGCACTGGGATACAGTGCCGCATGCAAACGGGGTTGTGCTTTGAGGCCAAGTGTGAAGCTGGGCTTCACTATTATTATCTCTCTTTGGAGACCTGAAGTGTGAAGAAGTTGGGGAAGAAATTAGGATGTGAAACTATTCAGATAGTAAGATGTATCCAGCAGAAACCCGCTAATAAATGTGTGCCCATGTTCATCAATAGCTGTAATATAGCGATATACACACTGTAATAACACACAGCATATATTACATAGATGCATTATATATTCATTACATGTATGTGTATGTATGTTTAGATACCATTCATTCATCCCATAAACATTTCTGGAGCACCTACTGTGTGCCAGCACTGATCTACGCACAATTGATGCAGGTTAAGTCCTAACTTTTCTATGAAGCTTCCATTCTTGCAGGGACCTAATCTATCTGTATTGCCAGGTGTTCAGAACGTAGCAGACACTCAGTATATGTTTGGGGATTGAATGAATGGTGTTATAGCATGACTCTAAGTGGTGAATGAAGGAGGGGCCTGGGGATTATACTCATTGTTGCATACATAACACCATGCACAGAGAGATAAATACAGTAAAAGTAGTGTGTGTGCTTGCTGACCTTCCCAGCATCGCTTAAGAGAATCATTAA